GGAGCAAGTAGGCCTGCGTCTCCCTCCCTCCGCCAAAACCTCGCAGGCCTCAGTTTCTTCTTTCTGAGTTTGCACTACTGAAGAGATGCTAATTTCTCAACAATCCGGTTGCTCCCTTCTCGATTCCTGGGCCCCCTTTCCGCAGCAGGGGCGAGGGCCCTTCGCTGATCCTACTCCGAGCGAGACTGTAGGAGGTTGGTGGGGGAAGGGCCAAGGGCGGGGTATGGGGCGCGCCCCAGGATAGCCTGGGATTAGGAGGCCCTTTCCCGCGGTGTCCCCCACTGTACTCCCCGGCTCAGTATAATTTTAGTTTTTCGCTGTCTACGGTCAGGCTAAGGCCACATGGTCTTCCTCTATTAAAGCGCATTCGCGGGTGTACAGATCTTTGCCCTCAGATGGGCGTCGCGGGCATCCCCGAAAAGTCTTGTTTAGTCAGGAGGAATTAGACGACTCTGCAGGCGCCAGGAGCTCTAAGACGTCAGCTGGGGCTGGGAGAAGCGGCTGCCTGGAGGTCACATAGCACTCGCGGCAGAGCCAGGGCTGGAGTTAGCAGCACCCTGGTGTGCCCTGTCTGGGACTGCCCGGAGACACGCGTGCGGGTGGCTGCCCGAGGGGATGCGCTCCCAGTGTACGCACTGGAACTTTTCAGGACAGGTTTCCCCTCCTCCGTCCCTTCTGCTGCCTGCCCTCGGAAAGCAACCTGCGCCCAAGCTCCTTTGTCCTGCGGGTTACCCGGGGGGGGGCTCGAGGGCCGTGGAGATCTGCCCTGGAGGCGGGGCGGGGTTGGGGGGGGCGAGGGCGCACCAGGGCAAACTCCAGAGATAAAGTGCCACCGCGGCTGGGTGGCTGGTTTGGATCCTAGGCCAAGGGCACAGCCTGGGGAAATCTGGGCTCGGCGTCTTTATTTGCAGTGAGGCTGGACAGGTGGTTTCATTTCAAACATGAGACGTCAGTTTCCTCACCTGTAAAATGGGGGGTGGGGGTGGGATCTTACCTGCCTTCTTTGTCTTGTGGGAATTCAGTGAGTTTATGCCCGTAAAGCCTTCAACAAATGTTAACTATTATTATCTGGGGACCGCCCCAGGGGAAACCCGAGAGAGTCGGCAGGCTGGATCCGGGAAAGATTTGTTCGAGCTTCTCGCCCCAAACCCTTGTCCTAGCCGTCCGTGGGTGTGTTTGTTCCTCTCTAGGCTCAGTTTCCCTGTCTGCACTCGTGGGGGAGACGCGGGCTCCCGGAGACTGGAGCTGTCCGTCTGGCTGGGCGAGCAAGCCCGGCCGCCTCTGCAGCACTGGGGGGTCTGTAAGAGGAATCGGGGTCCGCGGGAATGCCCCCTTCCCCCTCTGCGGCTCGCCGGCGCAGGCTGGGGGCCTGGAGGCAGGGCAGACGGATGGCCGGTGGCACCGCGGCCTGCTGCTCTCCGCCGCTCTCCCAGGGCAGCAGGGAAAGGTCTCCGAGGGTAGCGGCAGGTTCCGCGCGCGCGTGGCGGGGCCACTCCGGTCGGCCTGCGCCTGCGCCGCGGGAGCCCTGCAGGCTGCGCCCCGCTCAGCTCCTCCATTTCCCAGGGACCCGCGGCGCCACCACCCCGAGCCCTGCCCTCGGGCCGCCCGCGCTTTGGCCCCTGCGCACCCCGGCGGCCGCGACCCCAGGCCGCCAGCCCACGCCTTCAGGGCGGCCGCACGCGGTGGCACTGCAGCCTCTGGCCTCCATCGCCCCATCTTTCCCTTCCCCTTCTCCCCAGCCCCGAAGGAGGGGTCTTGTCTTCCGTCTCACTCTAAGCCGACTCTGATTAGCCGCCGGGGGAAGGGGGGCATTTCCCGGGGCAGGCGGCCCTTCTGGGGGCGCGCCTTCGGAAGGAAAACAGACGGAGGGGATTATCTAAGCGACAGGTCCCGAGTCTGGCCTCCTGGGGGCGGACGAGCCGAGAAGATTCCCTCTTCCCCCGGGACGTCCCGCTAGTTCTAGTTCGGCGCTATTCATCTCCTTTCTACGTCTGTTTGTTTTTTTTTTTGGGGGGGGGGGAGGGGGGAACGGGGACGCGTGTGTTCCCACCTGCACCTCCGGGAAGTTACTGGAGCAACTGATGCCCTCCGGGAAACGGAATGCTTTCCCCAGACTTCTGAGCCTTGGGACAGCCAAGAGTGAGAAGCTTCCAAAGTTCGAGGTGGAGGAGGGCTCTTGCCACCGGGTCTGAGCTTCCTCCTGCGCGGGGAGACCCTGAGGCCCGCGGAGCCTGCCTACTGTTTGGCGCAATGGAGACGGAGGGAGTGGGCGCCAGCCCTGCCTTCCGAAGAAACCCTGAGAAGCTCAGCGGGACGCTTAACTCCAGAGGAAATATCGAGCCTTTCCAATCGCTTCCTCCACATAAAAATGCATCTTGCTGTACATGTTTCTTATGCACTGGTTCCCCCTACCCCCACCACTTTTTCCCCCTCCCTAATTCTGCAGATCTGGAGAAGGCCTGGAAATCTGCATTCCCCTCATCAGATTAGGCTGATGAGCAGGATTTGGGGATTACTGTTATAAGCCACTCTCAAGTCATAGCACAGGTATTCTGTAAAGGCTGGCCAGTGCTAGAGGACAGTATTTTTCTTTACAGGAGAAGTGAGGATGAAAAAGTGAAAAGATGAAGTGGGTCTCAGGGTAACTTCACACCACCCCTCCACACACCTGCTTGGCCTTCTGGAGGTGATGCTAACCTCACATGAGGGGAGATGAACAAGTGTTTAGGCAGTTTTTCAAAGTTTAAAGTTGCAATTGCTATTCAATATTCACCAGCAGAAATCCACAAAAACTTGCTACTCTGCTGGCCCGAGTGTTGTTCCCAGTTTTCTATCACCCTCTCGGTCTTTTCTAGCTTCTTGTTAGCTTCCTACCTACTTAAACATCTATTACTGGGTGAGAAAGCCAGGTTCAAAGCACTAGGACACCCAGAAGAAAAGCTCTGAATACACTTTGGCTGATTAAATGACAGTTGCCCACTATCCCAGGTTGAGGTATCTGCTGCTTCTACAGGGCCAAAAGGAATCAGTGTGATCAGAATATCCCTGCCCTCTTTTGTTTTCCCTCCTTCTAGGGCCTGGGAGATGTGGAGATTGCCGCCCTCTTATTTGGTTTCTGGAGGTTACCTACATGGGGGGCAGGAATCAGGCTGCTGAAGTCTTCTTTCTCCGGGCCAATTTCTCTTTTGGAACGGGCCCCTCAACAAACACATCACTTGCAGAGTGCTCCTTAATTCTGTCCGGCCCCCCTAGAAATCCATCTATTGTATGCTTCACACTGATCTTGGCCCTCACAGTGGCTGTGTCTCTCCTTTCTCTGGCACCTTTGCTGCTCCCCTTTGGCAGTGGTCTGATCCCCACCATAGTGTGTGTTGCCCATCACTGGGGTATGTAGTCGCCAGACTCAACTTGGAGTCCTGAACATAGATCACTGGCAGGTAAAATGGAGGCTCAGGCAATTAAGGAGAGGGAGGCTTGAGTCTTTTGCTATGGCTATCTGGGGCTCATTGATGGAAGGGTAGCCTCTGCTTCCTGGTTCCCCTTTCCTGAAGGATCCCCTCAGAGAAGGCAGGGGATGGTCCAGGCAGGGGGAGGGATTGGCTCTGGGGACTCTTGGCCTTGGGGGTTAAGCTTGGAGCTTTGGAAGTTTTCAGCAGGCCCAGTTTCAATTATGCATTTAAAATCTATAGAGATGGAGAAGGTCCAACTCCCCCTTTCTCCTCCCCACAAACCTATAATCCTTCCAATCTCACCACCAACATAACCATCCTGAACACGTGCTGTGTGCCAGGAACTCTGGTAGACGCTATGGGGATCCTGATAGTTGCAGACAGATCTCTTCAGGAGTGTGTTGGTGGAGATCAAATTAATTATTAATTATTACCAGGGACACAGTACCCAGTACATTAGCGATCCAAATTAAATGGTATGAGAGCTGGGCAGGCTTTATGCACAAAGATAAAGTAGTGCTTAAGCACAGTGGCCATGTACTCGCAAGCCTGAAATAGTCTTTTTCTCCTGGTACAGGAATCAGGAAGTGGTTCTCACTTTCCTGCTCTGCCAAGAGCACAAAGTGAAATTCTTGCCTGTCTCCATCCATTCAACTTGGGCATGTGCACTGTTCCGTCACTGACCCCATGAGCTTCCTAAATCAAAGGGCCAAGGAAGGCCAGCAGAAAGGGGACCTGGATTTCTGGCAGAGAATTTCCCCCAAGGAGTCCTTAGCAGATTTGGCTGGAGTCAGGGAGTTCCTTTGAGGGCAATGAAACAGAAGTTCACCATGTGCTTATTAGAGGTTACAACCTGCTAAAAAAATGATGGGGCACATTACCCAGAAACTTCTAGCTATTTTGTTTGCTAGCCACAAGCATATACACAGAAAGGTCTGAGGTAGGAGATTATTTCTCCCTCCTTCTCTCCTATCCCCACTCCCCACCTTCTTAATTAACTCAATCTCTCGCTTTCTGGACAACTGGCAGGAGCAGAAGTTGGGGAGGGGTGTTCAAGTCCCCCATTTTAACACAAAGAATGAGGAACAGAGAAATCCTACAACACATAACCAACTAATCAGAGACGTTGTTGCTTTGGTAGTTATTCAAAAGAAAAAAAAAACCATTTTGGGGTAGGGGGGAGGGGTTGGGAGTTGAATCTGAATAAATTTTAAGAAGCCTCCTGATACAACTCCAGTGACAGCATTCAGTCCACCGTTTACATATCCCGCAGATTACTCGAGATAAGTGAGCTTGTTGAGGATAATGCCTAATACCGCGGGCTCGAGGCTAGCGTCTGAGCCAGAACCATTTCCGAAGCCAAGCTACGGGCAGAGTCGGGGGTCCCCCTACTCTCTGGGGGGGGGACCCACAGAGCCTCGCTTGCCGGGGCCCAGGGTCCACCCACCTCTCCCGGCGTGGAGACAAGCGCCCTCCGCGATCTCCCGCCCCGACATCGAGCGCCCATTTTTCCACCCCACCACCCCCTCCTCAAAGCGAAGAGGTGGGCACCTGGGACGCGCGTCCTGCTTTTTCTGCCCGAGCTCTCCCGTCTCCTCCACTTTTGCCCCCGACGTCCCAGACCAGCGGAGCAGGACGCAGCCTCAGCCCTGGGAGGGCGCAGCCAGTGCACCGCGAGCGCGCTCAGGGCGTGGCGAGGATGCTACTCGGACCGCAACGACCAGGATGCAGACCCCAGCTCAGATCCCTGAGAAAAACACCGCCCTTCCCTTGCGTCTGTTTCCCCTCTCCAGCCCGGCTCTGCCCGACTCAGCCCAGCTCTTCCCCAGCACAGACGCCGGCGCGCAGCGATCCTTCGCTCGCCACTTTGCGAGGAACTTTGGCTGGCTCCCCTGCGCCACCCGGAGCGGGATGGTAATGAGGGAGCGTGGCCCGGCGCCGCGAGCCAGCCGGCCCTCTGAGCGCCGATTGGCTGCAGCGAGGCGGAAGGATGACGCTATGCAAATGAAGGGGCAGGCCTGCGAGGCGCGAGCCCCGCCTCCTCCCTTTGGGGTTAGTGTGCCTGTGTTTAGCTCTGGGGAGAGTCAAACTGGATTCCATAGGGAAAGCCTGCAAATCACTTCTATTTTAGCAAGGAGAAAACAGAATCTCCATCCAGCAGGGTCCACCCCTCTCTCTTTTTCCCCTCTCCTCTCTCTTTCTCTCTCTCTCTCTGTCCTTCCCCCCCCTTCCTCTTTCCCTCTCTCTCCCCCCTTCCCCCCACCCCACTCTCCCTCTCTGGTGTATCTGTCTACGGCAACCAGCGTCCTCCTCATCTATACGCACTGAAAGGAAAGAAACATCTTTGGTTGGGAGAGAAGGAGGAAAAAAAAAAAAGAGAGAGAGAGAGAGAGAGGAAAAAACTTGCCTGGTTGTGGAAAATGACACTTGAAGTAGCAAAGCCGGCAGCGCGAGTTGAGTCTATTGTTTCTTAAATTGCCATCAGGGCTTTTTTTTTTTCTTCCTGCTTCTTCAAGTGAAGGGTACCTCTACAAAAGGAAACTCCAGCCCCTCCTGTCCTCCACCGGCCTGTGATCATTACAAAAAAAAAAAAAAAAAAAAAAAAAAAAAAGAAAAAAAAAAGCAAAAAAAAAAAAAAAAAAAGCACCCAAACCAAAAATTAACCAACCAAACAACCCCCAACAGCCAAGCATACATCTCTATTTTTTTATTTTGGTCTTTTCGTTGGATTTTCCCTTCTTTTTTTTTTTTTCTCTCCTTTTTTTTTTTTCAGGTTATCGCTCAGTTTTGAGTGAAGGTTTACATTTTTAAAAAATTTGCTTTCCAGCCCGCCTTGATCTTCTAGCGCGAGTTCATCGTCTCAAAAAAAAAAAAAAAAATCTCTGGCTGGCGTTTTTCTTTCCTTTTTTTTTTTTTTTTTTCAATATTTTCAAGGGGGAGGAGATTTTCCACAAGAAAAGGTTGTTTTCATGTTTGGGATTCAGGAAAGCATCCAACGGAGTGGAAGCAGCATGAAGGAAGAGCCGCTGGGCAGCGGCATGAACGCGGTGCGGACGTGGATGCAGGGCGCCGGGGTGCTGGACGCCAACACGGCGGCGCAGAGGTGGGTACCGCTCGGGGACCGCGGCCGGGGAGGCGAGCCGCAAGCAGAAGAGCCGGGAAGCGGCGGCGGCGGCCGCTGCGGGGCCGGGCCGCGCTCGGGAGTCCGCCGCTGCGCTCGGCTCGCCTCCGGGGCTCCGCGCTCCCCGGCCGCGCTGCCTCGGTCGCCTGCGGCCGGAGAGCCGCGAGCTGCCTGCGAGGAGTCCACGCTTTGCCGGCACTTTCTCCTGCTTCGCCTGTGACTGTTTTCATTTCGTTTTAAGCCAGAAGAGGCGTCTCACCAGCACGATGTTGGATATCTGTGTTTTTATGTGATTGCTCTTTCTTTCCTGGCTGGCTGTCTTCGCTTTCCTTTTCTTACTTTCTTTCCTCCTTTTCTTTTTTCTTTCTTTTCTTTTTTCTCTTTTCTACCTTTTTTCTTTCCTTTCCTTCCTTGTTTTCTTTTTCTTCCCTCCTTTCTAAACTTTTTTCCTTCTCTTCTTCTTTCTTTTCCTCCTTTCCTTTCCTTCTTTCCTTCCTTCCTCCTTCCATCCTACCTTTCTCCCTTTCTTTCTCCTTTTCTACTGCTCTCCTGTGTCTTTTCCTTTCCGTCCTCTCCTCTCTTCCTTCTTTCCTTCCTCCCTTTCTTCATTCTTTCCTTCCCCTTCTTTCTTCACCCCTCCTTCCTCTCTTCTCCTTTCCTTACCTCTCTTTCTCTCCCCTTTTTTTCTCTCCATGTGTCCCCAGAACCTTCTCTTAATTCCTCGGTCTGGTTCTCTGTCCCCCTCTCGCTAGCTTTCAGTTTTTCTCGGTCCACCGGTAGAACAGCAACTCCTAACTTCAATTCTGACATCCCCTAAAAGTCTTCTCCACCCTCTGTCACCGGTCCCTTCCAGCCCCTCTCCCACTCTCAGTTCCTGAGATGCTAGACTGTGTGGCCTGGAGGCACTGCCCTTGGAGATTGACGTGGGGGAACTTTTCTGGGCACTCTTATCACCCTTTCCGGGGACTCCTGGTCCCAAGTGAGAAATGGTCTTTATTTCCCCCCCCCCAGACCACCAGCTGGGCTTGGGGGAGTAGAAGATCTGGCGGCCCCCGGCCCTATCGGACTCGGAGAGGGCGGAAGGGGAAAAAGGAAGATGACTAATTACCTCATCCTCATCTTCTCCGGGCAGGGGACAAGTGTCTGCAACACTGTTCCCATCCCCGCTGAGTACACGGATGGGGGTGGTTAGTAGTGAGAGTGAGTTGGGTAACTGGCCTGGGAGCGAAAGAGTGTGTGTGTGTGTGTGTGTGTGTGTGCGTGTGTGTGTGTGTGTGTGTGAGCGCGCCCTTGTGTTGAGCAGGTCGGGTTGTCAGTGGCCTCCCGGCGCCCCTGGCACCCGAGCCTCCAGGTCCCCCACGGGCGCGCTCAGTTGGCACCCCTGGTCCACAGGGTTTCTGGAATGGTGTGTGGATTTCTGTGGAACAGCGAAACTTTGTCAGGATAGGTCTTTTAAAAACACCCCCAGCTCCCGGTTCCACAGCGACCACCCCTGACAGCTCTGAGCACCCCCCCCCCCGCCAGATCCTTTTTCTCACTTGCTTTATTCGGGGAGGGGGCATGCGGTTTCCCGAGGCCGGGCGCCCGCGCTTGGCGGGGGCACATGAGGTTTCCTGGAGGCTGGCTGCGGCTTCGAGAAGCTGAGCCTGTTCCCCATCCATCCTCACCTGCCCTCGAAGCTGAGGCGGGAGGCTCGTGGGGGTGGCGGGGACAGATTCCCCTGCTCCCCTCCTTCCAGGTTGTAAAGGACCGAATGTATTCCGCGAACGCGGGTTCACCGCATCCACCTCCACCTTTCTGCCTTCCCACGCAGCGCGCGTCAAGTCGGAGTAAACGCTTGCAGGGTTTTATCTCCTGCGCAAAACCCAAACAAAACTTTCGCGGCTCTTCCGCGAGTTGGGGGGGGGGCGCGCCCCGTGCTCCGCGGGAGGATTGGACACGCGGGAGCACGCATGTCCACGGCCGGGTGGGCCCGGGGCGCCGGAGGGGGCGTGTAGGGCGCCCACTGGGGGCTCTGGGGGTAGAGGAGGTTGATGTTTGACGGGCCTCCCGTGTGGAAGGGGTGACAAAGGGTCGCGCGTCGGTGTCCCGCTTAGCCGTCTAACTCTGCGTCTTTGGCCGCAGCGGGGTGGGTCTGGCCCGGGCTCACTTTGAGAAGCAGCCGCCTTCCAATCTGCGGAAATCCAACTTCTTCCACTTCGTCCTGGCCCTCTACGACAGACAGGGCCAGCCCGTGGAGATCGAGAGGACAGCCTTTGTGGGGTTCGTGGAGAAGGAAAAAGTAAGTGGGCGCAGCGCCGCTGCCCCTCGCCCCCGGCCGGGGAGCAGGCCCAGCCTCTTGGGGAGGCGCGCTCCTCGGCGAGTGCAAAGCATCCATAACACACTCCTGAGCGGGGTCCCCCAAGCCACTTCCCGTCCTGGGCGAACCCGGGCTCCTCGTCCGTGAGGTTCTGCTCCCAAAAAAGTTCGCGTGGAGCCCCAGAGCTGGAGAGAGGCGAGCCCGGCTTCGCACTCCAGAGTCAAGGGCGCCCGGGATGAACCCGCCCTCAACCGCGCCACCACGCGCGGCTCCTGCCTCTGCTGGCCCAGGCCCGAGCCCCCAGGCCCCACGGAATTTTCTGGAAGGGAAGAGGGAGCAGTAAGGGTCGGGAGGGCGGCAGAGGGATCACAGGTGGCCGCAATTTCTGCTGCTCCCGGGCCTGTCCGGTTCCCCGGCTGGGGGTCCGGTCCTTGGGAAAGTTGCCTCGAAGTCGGTCCACACTCGCTCACGCCGCCCTCTTTCCTGCGTCTCTTGTTGTGTCTTTGCGTCCTGCTGCAACCCAGGAAGCCAACAGCGAAAAGACCAATAACGGGATTCACTACCGGCTCCAGCTCCTCTACAGCAATGGTGAGGCTCGGGTCGGGTCCGCGCCGGCACCCTGGGGCCCTGGGTGAGGGCAGGGTGCGCGGGAAGATCCAAGCGGACCAGGGCCCCGAGCACGCGCAGGCGTCCACGGTCCTCGGGGTCACCGGGCCTCTCCTAAGTTTCGCCTAAAGAGGTTTCACCCGAGGAGGCCCCGAGGAGCCGGAAGGCGGCCGCAGCGGGCTCGCGCATACCTGGGGCCAGGTGTGCAGGCCTGGCCCTCGCAGGGGCCATTTCTTTCCCCCTCCCATTCCTAAGGCCTGTTTCCTTGGCTTAGCCCCGACTCCAGGCCTTGAGTCCTTTGGGCTGGGCTGGGGTGGGCTGGGCTGGGGTGGGGGGCTCGTGGCCTTGATGGCTCCCGGAGAGCGCGCAGAGGGGCTCCCTTGGAGAGAAGGGAGGGTAGCCAGGTGGGGGTCCTGCCACATTCTCAGCTGCCGCGCTTGGGGACTGGCCCCTCTCTGGACACTGGGGAACGTGGGGGTGGTGGTGTCCGGCCGGTGCTTCTCTGGGACAGTAGGCGTTGCATAAGCCTTAAAGCCCCATTCTTTGTTTTTTGTTTGTTTGTTTATTTTGCGGCAGATCCTCTCTCACTTAATTTTCTTTCGTTCCCCTTTCCCCTTCCCCTCTTCCCCAGGGATCAGGACGGAGCAAGATTTCTACGTGCGCCTCATCGACTCCATGACAAAACAAGTAAGTTTCTTAATTTCGCGCCGTGGGGTGACTCTAGGGCCTCGAAATTTGGGGAAGTCAAGAAGCTGGCTACTCTTTAGCGCGGGGTCTGGGACTTGAACTCTGGACGCCAGGGCGGACCTCAGACCCCGTTTCTCAGCGCAGCCTTCCAGGTGCGGGGTACACACACTAGCGTCCACCGCGTGGGGAAGATGGCTCGACGGCTCCTTCCCACCAAGGGAGACTCAGGCCTTGTGCTTTAAGACTACAGGGTCCTGAGTGGGGAGAGTAAGTGCTGAACTTCCTTTGACCCGCCGAGAAGCCCCAGGGGGCGCAAAAGGTGCCCGGGGGGCCTTGGTGTAGAGTGGGCTGAGCCTATGAAACCCGAACCCCCTCCGGGCCTCTCCTGGGAGATACAGTGCAGGGAAGGGTGTGGGGGGCCTAGGTAGCTTACTCAGGAGTGGTGAGATGAGCTGAGAGCGCAGATGACCCACTCCACAGATTTTTTTTTAAAAGGAGGAGGTGGTGGTGGTAGTGCTGTTGGAAGAGGGAGCCGCAATTGTTAGAGAGGATATTTTGCAAAAATCCTCCTGCTTTTGCCTCCAAGTTTGGCAAGAAGCCAGGCAGCATGAGTGAGCTTGTGGTCTTAAAGGTACATAGACGGCATTTTCTTAAACTCTCCAACACGCGGGTGTCAAGCAGTATACATTAAGGTTGAGTTATGGTTTAAAAGATACAATTATGAGCCGAGTCAGAAAAGAGGCCTGACGTTTTAATGAGGCACAGGAGCCTTTTTTTTTTTTTTTTTTTGATTTTAAGAAAAAGTTTAGTTTCAGAATTAAGTAGCTGGTTAGGTAGTTGGAGGACTTAGGCACAAAAAAGAACCCAGCTTTATTGGGTGGAGGAAAGAAGTTAGAACAAAGAGAAAAGTTATCCATTGTGTACTAAAGAGGAATAAAACTTATTTGCTTGATTGCAATTTTAAAATATCCCCTTTAAAATAAGGATAAAATAAGGGTATCCCTTCTTTCACAGATAGATACTGACTTGGAAGTTTTCAAATTATGGTACATATGCATATTTAAAAATTATTTTTAGATAAGCGCGGCTTAAATATGTTGTACAAAATACACATTCATAAGCTGCTGGAAGTTTTAAAATCTACTCAGCAAGAACCTTTCAATAATAGCTAATTTTGATTGTTAGGTCTCATATTTCATTGTAAACCAAGTAGAAAACATGAGGGTGTGAAATGCAGTTTTAAAAATAATAAATAAATACCTATTGAAATCTATTTCAAGTTATGTCCTTAAAATATTTGACTTTCTTGAAGATTTATTTCTTGGTTGATTGTTCAGAGTAAATTCACATTTATACTTTTAGTCTTGGTCTTATTTTCTTTACTCATTTTGATTATTACATAGGATATTTCTCTTTCATTTGGACACATTGGATTTTGTTAAAAATTTTTTTTCCCTTCCAAGCAGAAACACAAAAGCCTGATTTCAGTAACTTTTTTTCTTTTTCTTTCTTTTTTTTTTTACTGTATGAAAACAAAAATATCTTAAGTGGAGTTTTGTTTTAAAGAATTGTCTTTGATACCCTAGATATCTTTTCCTGCCATTCTCATCAGAGGAAAGAAAACAGGGGAGGAGGAGGGAGAAAGTATGAACTCAAATACATATTCCATATGCATTTATTAGAAATTACTTTTTAAAAGATAAAAAAATCCCCACAAATCAGTGTGAAAGGGCTTGTCTACTTGTGCAACATTGGTCACTTAAATATGAAATCATAGGCAGCACTATGAAACAAACAATTGTAAGGAGTGCAAAACTAGGACACGTTTGAAGTGATTAACTGCCTTCAAAACTTTTAGACCCCTTAAACAACAAATGCCACCAAGAACTGATTTTCCCATTATGAAATGAACTGACTTTACACAGTCTCATATGGTGGAGGAATTATCTTGCTTTTTATAAAGCAATACATCAAATATCATTTTACTAACGAAGTCATAGAGCTTAAGGAAAAATGACAGCATAGGGCATTCTTTGACTGCCTGGTATTATAAATTCTATCAATTGGAGGTGGGGGCCTAGAACAAGATTTAGTTTATTTTTAATAATAACAGGTATGAGAAAGTCATTTGCCATAATATGACATCTCAGTAAAAGTTACAATTATAAATGTATGCAATTGTGTATTTTGATGGGGAGGGACCTGAAAAAGGTTTAAATGGTTATCTGAATTTGTTCTAAAAATATCAAAAGAAAGGGATTTCTTTTCTGAGGCATACCTGTTTACTTTCATAATAACGGTCTAATGCCTTCTGTGTAGGTTTCACTTTGAAAGGCAATCCCTGCCCATTATCTGTTTGTTGATTATGTGCTGTAAGAGTTTGGGAAGTAGGTTAGCTTCTTGTATACACCGTTAATATAATAGTCTTAAAAAAAGCAGATCAATGTGAAGAAGCATAACTTTTCCTGGCTTTGACATAATTATTATATTTTAGTCTTAATGAGTAAAACAGCAGATTCTCATCTAGCTTGAAATTACTGTGATTTAAAAATTTTTTAAATTTCATATTTTCATTAAGTATGCAGTGGCCCCTTGAATCTTGAATCAGAAGTAAGGCTTGACATTAGCTGACTGATTAAATAGTTAAAATTTTGTTTCCCCTGTGAAATTCTTCCAGATAGACTCAGGATTTTGATATTTAGAGTACAAAATAGGATTGAGTGAAGTTATCATAAAATTTTGGAGGGAATACCTAGCCAAAGTTCAAGTGTCTTCTCTTAGCTGCTTGTTTGTAACATTTTTCATATCAGAGATGCAGCTTTATGTGTGTGATGTCTTATCTTGGACTCAGAAGTTGGGGTTAAAACTCAAAGAGAATCTTTGGCAAGCAAAATCCAAAACTATCTGTGCACTCAATATTTTTAAAGAATGTTCCTGAACTTGAGTGGAGTTAGCAGCATTGAAATCAAACAGAAATGTACTCAATCAACCAAGATGTATTGGCATGACACAGTATTTCACACCTTTTCAAAGTGTCTCATTACACTACCTTGGGTAATGACTCTTAATTTTGGACTCAAGCAGGAAAGATGAAGTTTTATTATAAGTGAATGTATAAGGATCCGAGCACCCTTATCCCAATGCCTCTCTCATAAAACACAAAGGATGTGACGATATTTAAAAAATTCATCCACCAACTAGAAAATGAGAGGCTTGCTTTTGGGAAGGGTTGTTCAAAACCAAGTTTAGCCGGACTAAAAATAGGTTGTTTTTGTGTCATTGCTGTTTTTGGTATTCCATTAGTGAGCATGCAAAAAGGCCTGTAGGATCCAGAAGTTTATGGTTGTTGCATTCAGAAACAATATCTACTGCAGAAGCTCAAATGAACCCAGTGGGGAGAGGTCTGATGTTTAATGTGCCTCATTTCAGACTTTCATGTAGTATTTGAAATATGATTACGTTCTGTGATTGCTTAGGTGGGTTAACATTAAATAATTTTTTAAAAAAGCCTTTAACTTATCTTCTCTCCTACCATCTTGCTTTAAAAAAAGTGACTTTTCTTATAATTTAGAGAAAGAGTACTAAGTTCCATAAAGTTATCAAAAACAAAGTATTCCTGCCCACAGACAGAAGCTCTTTTTTTGGAAAGGGAAAAATAACAGTCACATAATCCTTGTCGAGTATGGGCTTGAAGGTAGATGATGTGGTAAGGGGACCCTAAAAAGTGGAAAGCATAGTGGGAAGTCCAAAGTACGATGATCAGAAATGCTGTCCTATTTCTCTTACAAGCTAATCTTCTTTATGTATTTGTTTTGTTGTTCCCGGTACTTTAAGTTATTGATGCAAGCACATTTCTTCCTATTGATTGTTTCATTATATCCTGCCTCAGCTACGTAGATTTGATTAACAACCCTTTCAGTTCATGGTTCTTCATTGGTAGATAAACACATTTTTAGTATATCAATAAGTTCCAAAGGAATTCAAGAGACCAGCCGAGAGATTCTTTCCTACATTTGGAAAAACCTACAAACAGAAAAAGACAGGGCAGGTTTAGAGTCAGGAGCCACCTTGTAGCAGCTTTCTCTCTCCTTTGGTAACATGTCAAAAATGCAGGTGATTTAAATTTCCTTGCACATAGAGGAATGAAGAAGTTTGGAATTTTTATGCATGATCAGGACCTGTGTTTGGGAAAATGTAAACTCATCACAGTGGAAAATGTGTTGTTTGGAGTCTGGGGGTGAAAACAAAGCTGATGGTTTTGGAGAGATTGCCGGAGCCAGATGGCCTAGTACTTCCCCAGTCTGGCGGCCCAACTGCTCCCTCCTGGATAATATACAGCCATTTGTTCGGGGATATTTACGCTAGAGCTGTTTCCATGTGAATGTTTGAACAGCATTAAAAACGAACATATTAGTAGTGATGCATTTATCGAACTCAGATGACTACACCAATAGTCTGTTCTTACGTCTTTCCTTATAATGCTGAGAGGAGTGAAGGAGTGTTTGGATGTGGGTGAATTGTTTATATAGTTGTTGAGCAAGAATGATTTGATCTCAGAGCAATTAAAATATGTAAGCATTTGGAATAAAACTAATGGAAATAATGATAACACCTACCTTGAAGCTCTTTTGTGACAATTAAATGAATTCATACATGTGAAGTGCTTAGAATAGTGACTGGCACATATTAAGTGCTTAATAAATTAGCTGCTTTTATTATTTTATTATTATTATTATTGTCCCATTGGGTTGACAAAGCCAGCTGTATCTACTAATATAGATGTAAATGTAGTTATCATATGAGTGAAATATCTCTTACTACTGTTAGAAAAAGAAATACCATGTGGGATTGTTAGAGTGATTCAGTTTTTATCTCGGTGCTTGAATAATATCGGGGATTTTATTTCTTTGAGACATTAAAGATGTATTCTAAAGCTAACTGCTTTCGATACACATTCTCTTTTTATTCAGGACTGTGATGTAACTGAACAGCATACTGAA